CATCAGGTTGCCATGTTTTTCTGAAACTATTATTTTCTTTAAGGCCGAGTTTTCCTTTTTTGTGGTTTCTATGGTAACCAAGGGTTGAGTAAATTGCCACAAAGTATCTTTTGCCTCCCACTGTCAAGAAGTGCCCAGAAAAGGAGGTTCTGTAATAAAGCAATAAAGAAAACTGCAAATAGTAAAACTGAGAAAATATCACTTTGGAAAACATTCAGGTAATGGATAAAAAAAGAAAATGAAAATGCTATGATTGCCTCCATCTTTAAAAACACACTTTTTATTGGGATATTTATGCAACAAACAAGCAATAGCGTGCGAGCTGTCGTCACTTTCTGAGGTTGCTAGAAAAGCATCCAAACAAAAAAAGATGACTAATCATCAGTTATCAATAACAAGGTGCCATTATTGCACTGTAAGAACTTATGTCAGGAGAATAAATATACTGAGCATCAAAAACTGAGCCACATCTGCATGTATGGTTTTAAAAGAATAAAACACATGGTGAATAGAAAATGTTTTAATTGATCATTCACAACTGAACTCAATACACTCAAGTGACTGCATTACCATCACCATCGCTTCATTAGTGAAAGAGTTAATTAGGCTCAGGTGAAGCAGTGATTTACCTTATTGAGTTTCAAGCACTGGAAAAAAAATACAGGAAATAAAGAGAAGGGAATCTGAATACCCCACTTGCAACACCTCAGATGGACTCTTCAATGACCAATTATGGTTTTGTGTAGCTCATCCCAGTTGGACATCAGGAAATGTGGTGCAGACAAGTGGAATAATTCACAATTTTTTTTGAGTACGACAAACTAACTGATGGTAAGATCCAAGTGTGATGCTCTGGGTAGGAGTGTGTAGCTGCTGGGGAATTCTACTGGTAGTGATGGCAGCCAGACTGCTCTCCATGGAACAAGTCCTGGGACTTCATGTGCTGCCCTTTATTTAAGCTCATTCTGACATGACAACATTCCAACCATGCATGTGAGAAGAGAATTTAATAAGAATTGCTTACACTTATATAGCTCTTTTCTGGACACTCCACTCAAAGTGCTTTACAGGTAATGGGGACTCCCCTCCACCACCACCAGTGTGCAGCCCCACCTGGATGATGGGACCGCAGTCCGACTGCACCAGTACGCTTGCTACACACCTGCTCTCAGGGGGGAGGAGAATAGACTGATGATGCCAATTCATAAATGGGGATAATCAGGAGGCCATGCTTGGTAAAGGTCAGGGGGAAACTTGGCCAGGATGCCAGAGGAACACCCCATTTGTGAGAAATGCCCTGGGATTTTTAATGACCATAGAGACTCAGGACCTCAGTTTAACGCCTCATGCATGGTGCGTTTTTACAGTATAATGTCACTATACTGGGGCATTAGAACCCACACAGATCGCAAGGTGAGCGCCCCCTACTGGTCCCACTAATACCTCTTCCAGCAGCAACCTTAGTTTTTCCCAGGAGGTCTCCCATCCAGGGACTGACCAGGCTCACAATACTGAGCTCCAGTGGGGCTGCCAGTTCTGACCTGCGGTGTGAAGAAAAACTGACCCTGTCAAATCCCAAAATGCAAAGCATATCCAATTCTGGCTGGAAACCAGGTATACCAGGTGCTTCACCTTTCCATTTATTCTGAAGTTCATTCCTTCATCCATCAGGAGAATTAGGTTTGTCCAAGCCGCAGCTTCTTCAATGGATAATATAGTGTAGAGAGATCCAGTTTCTGCAAAACTCAGATTCTGATACTCTTAATACGATCAGATCTCTACTGTTAAAATCAAGGTTTTCGTTAGTATTATTTGTGTGTCAAAATTCCACTGCCTCCCTGCTCAAGTACACCTCATTATGTTACTCACAGCTTCCTGCAGGCTGACGAATGACCACACATTAATAGCGTTGCAAACTGCTAACTGTGCCCTAGGGTTTACTGTCCTTGCTTTAAAATTATATCATAAGGCTTTTCACTTACATTTTTCGAAGTCTGCGTCTCTAATCTCACCCTCGGACTACAATTGTATCTGCAGGGCATGCACTTCAGACAAATGTTCTGCAGACACATGTGGTTCTAACTCAACTGCTTCTAAGAGCACAATGGAAAAGCTTATGTAAAACCAAAACCATTCTCTGTGATTCCAGGCATGCTGGCAAGTTGCTTAGAAGGGAAGGGTGTGTTTGTATTGTGTATAAACTATGTTTTCACATGCTGTGTAATTAGTTCATTTGTCCAAAAATGACAACAGATGGCCCTTTTCTGGTAGTTTGCTAAACGAATCGGCATAAGAACAGTATTAAAAATGTGTGTTGCAAACAGATTCATGTCTTCAAAATTCACAGCTGCAGCCGGAGCCTATCCCTGCAAGCAGCGGGTGGAAGATGGGGTACAGTGTGGATGGGACGCCCTATCCATCTCGGTGCAGACACAGACACACACACTCACACCAGGGCCCGATCCCTGCAGCCAAATTTACACACCAGTCCTGTCATACTAGGACAGTGGGAAGAAACTGGGGCTCCCAGAGGAAACCCACAGGAACATGAGCAGAACATGAAAAATGCGGCTGATCCTCATCCTGATCCTCATCATTTGTTGTACGTTGAGGTAACCAGTGCTTTTCTTCCTACAGCGAACATTCTTAGAAATTCTCAGTTAAATCGGCTAATAATTAAGGAGTTGGTTGTAGCAGAATTGGGTAATGGAGCAGATTGGAGAGGCTGCAAGGTAACCTGCCCTGCTCTAGAGCTTAGTTTTATACCAGCTGGAAATCAGGGCATTTTGATTTATTCATCCATTCTTTAACCACTTCATCCAGTTCAGGGTCTTGAGAGAGCCGGATCCTATTCTGGCAAGCAACAGGTGCATGGCAGGTAGCACCCTGGACAGGATGCTAGTCCATCGCAGGGCACACACACAGATAGACACTCTCACACACGAAAGGGCCCGTTTTTCCAGAAGCTAATTAACATGCCAGAATGCCTTTGGACTGTGGGAGGAAACGAGTACACACAGGAAATCAAGATGAACAAAGGAGGGACACTTTGAGAGCACCCTAGGTCTGAAACTGGAACACTTATCTTTTGACACGTTGAATTCAAAGCCCCAAGTCTGGACCACCATGCCACCGAAGTTGCAGTGCTTTTGTTAAAAATGTTAAATAAGAAGAACATGCGACACAAATTATCAGTATAGGAAGGGCTCTAAATTAACAGCATTACTCACACAAGACAACTCTGCATTGTTAAAGTACATCAGTATTCAATTTCAGGATCATTACATGACTAAAATTGCCTTTGAACTGAAAGTTACTGTACAGTGAACACATCTAAGCAAAGATAATTTAGTAATTTGAGGAAATTACTCTCCTTTGATACTGCTGCTTAAGAACTTATCTTGCATTCTTACTATATGACCTTCTACTCCTCTCTGGAGAGAAAATTAGCATAAAGTCCCAGGGATGACAACAGCATTAATATTTCAAACCTAATTTGGTTCGCCAAATTCTCCTTTTGAGAGTGCGAGCCACGTCTTAGGAATATTGGGTATGGAGATGCAGACAGTAAAATGTATTACAATTTCAGTTAGCACCAGTGCAACAAAGCTTCAAGCTCACCGCACCCCATTATTCACCATATCAGCTGTATTATGGCTTTCTTTCGAATACATCCCATAGCCACCTCTGAAGTCATGAGATAAAAATCCCTAAAATGTTTTAAATAAAAATTAAACCAGTTACCACCAATAGTTTGGACATCAATCGCTTTCAGAAACACGTATTTTCTTCTTAAGACAGCACCATGTAGAGATCTGATATCATATCAATCATAACCTACTAGATACTTAAATGCACAAGCATTAGTAGTTGGCAATTTGGTTAACGGATAACTAAAGGAACGGCATGAGCAGTGACTCTTCCAATTTTAGATGGAAACAGGAACAACACACGTAATTGACTGTGGATTCCACTTGTTCCTTTAATGTTTTCCATAACCAGCTAACCTGGATCCACGAGTTCCATCCTGTGTCATAGCAGCTCTCTGTAGTGCTTGGCCACAAGGAGGAGGACAGACGTCCCCCAGCGCAGACATCAAGCCATTTATCTTTTGACACGCTGCAAGCTCTGCCGTGCCAGTCACAGCAGAACTGCTGCTGGCTAAAGTGGCGGTGATTCTAGCACTGGTTTCACGGCTAGCTTAACGGCCATTTGTCACTGTGAGTTGGAAAACCCAGACAGCCCTAGCCAGCTCTGCCAAATGTATATACCGCTGCTTAGTCACAATCAGAGTGACATGACCCGGGCTCAAAATCGCAACACCGAAGGTACCGATCTCTATTGAGTGAGTGCCTTTACTGTTCGAACCACTGTGAAGCCACTTGCACTGTGTCCAATTTTGAAGGGCGTTCATGCTCATAATCCTTTTTGTCTACAGTAGTGAAATAGTCATATCTGAGAAGTGAACTACACTGGCTGTAACCTTTAGGCTTATTTTGTGTATCCAGACTATGGTTCTATAAGATCTTGATTCCTTCATCAGGTGAGGCACTGTTAATATCAATACCACTCTGAGCTAAAGACACATTAATGTTTGCAATTTGTCAGATATGTAGGCCTGTCTTTGCTCAGAAAACCCATTTCCAGCAGGGAAGGATTTTCATAGTTATTGGCTTTCCACTTCAGGATAAAATTTCACTGATTTCTGTTCAGTAAGATTGCCCTTGAAGAAGCTGTTTGTGAAAATTCACTAAGAAAGTCAATTCTCATCACAATATCTTCAACAGTTAAATTCATTTCCTTGAGTAACCTCAACTATTTCTGTTATCTATTATGTTGAAGAAAGACAGATACCCATCATTATTTCAGCATGTTTTTTCAAAACTACGAATGTTCGCAAAAATAAAAACCGATGTGAACGTTGGTGTACAGGATTCAGCCTGCACTCTTTCACAAACACCAAGGCCTTTTCTTCAAACTTGAGAAAAATGCTTTCCTACCAGTTTTTTCCTCAACTTCCATGGGTTTTTCGTCATCCTCTTCCAGTGGTTTCCCATCAACCTGAGTGAATTTGAAAGGCTTCCCAGATGCGATCATCAAGCCTTCTCCCTTGGGTTCAATCGCAGCATAGTGAGGAACTGATTTCCCATGCAGAATGCGTCTCTTCGTGATCTCGTATTTTGTTTCCTGTTCTGTAGTTTATGAAAATACAGGAGAAGGGATTAACACACAGGATGTCAAAAACTGCAATTGCTTTGTAAACCTCTGGTCCTGAACGTGAATTTATAGATGGATAAGAGTAGAAACAATTTTAAATGAGACATTCAGACAGTTCACCACTGGACAGTTATTTTTGTTTCCGAGTTAGAAGATACATATTAGTCCGATATTCAAAAATAGAGTACTGCAGTCTTTTCCACTAAAAAGTATGCAACAGCGTAAAATTAACATTTTATGTTGTACTGTAACTTTTAGCATGTTGTAAAAGCATTTTATAGGAAGTACTGATTAACCTCCCTTTTTAATTTGCACACAACCCGTACTAGAGTTTCCAGAAAGCAATTATTTTGCATTAGCTCACAAGCTATGCAAAAAATCTTATTAGAAACATAAGATAAGAAACTAGGGCATTGCTAAATGAACTTCAGGGTTTTATGCACAAGCAACAACAGTAAGTGAAACACACAGAGCATAAATAAGGCGTATTTAGATTTTCAAAAGGCTTTTAATCTTTTATGAGGACCTTTACAGACAGCAGGCATTGCGGGGGGGATGTGCGTTTGGATTGAAAACAAGTGGATAGAAAACAGGTTAGGAGACGGTGCTCAAATTGTGGAGATGTAATGTTGTGGGGATACTGCAAGTATCTGTATTCGTACCACCAATCTTTCTCATTTATACTGGTAAACTGGATTAGTCGCATTGGTGCTACAGTGGGATACATGTATCTTCCATTATTGTGGCATGGAAAAGTGAAATTTACTGTACTATGGCAATATTATTGTCTTTATCTGTAGCTATGCATGATTAAGTGAATTACCATATGAGCTTTTAACCCTTTATGTCAAAATGCCCTCAATATTGTATGTCACTAATTCACAGTAGTAAATATGTATAAGGTTAGGAAAAAGAGAATTATACATACTGTAGCTACTACAGTATTTCACAAAGATTCTGTTTAATGCCAGCCAGCCATTCACAACTATAATATATAAAGCATATGACTCTTAAGTTGAGTATCCTATCAGCAATTAGCGATATTGATATTTTATTCCTTATAATGAAATAATATGGTACAACTATTTTAACATTAGTTGCAACATTTTAAGACATTTTAAATTACATTCATTATGAGTAACTAAGTATTCGTTGTTGGTTTTTTTTACAAATACAAGTGTCTAAAAGGTCTTTATTTCATTTTTATGCAGTCACTACATGGTTCGTTCCATATCAGAATCGGTGTCTGTCTGTCACCACTGAGGTTAAAGGAATTATGTGAAAGAAGGATTTATTTTTGCTGTGATGGATGCTTGGCTTTGACAGGCAGAGAAACCCACTGTGGAATTACAGGCCCTATTCATTCTAATTGACAGCTGCACAGCTATACTCTAATCACCTCAAGCATTCACAACGCAAACAAATCTGCTATTTCTTCACACTTCACCCAGTGCACTTTATGCATTTTTAAGAACACTTGACACATGCATCCAGCACAGCCATCCACTTATCCATCTTCAAAACAGCGAACGCATTATGCACCACCACAGAGGACAATCAAATGCAGAAAGTCAAAACTCTCCTGTGAAACACGTCTTGTTAGTTTCACATTTTCAAAACCCAAATATTAACTAAATGGTCAAACACAAAGCCCCCCACAACCTCATCCTAACCCTCCCGAGTCCTTCTCCTCCTCCCCCTCCTCCTCCATGGACGTTCCCACCCAAGGGACGCCTAAGAAAGAAACACCCAGCTACTGTACGACAGAGGCACTGTGCAATGAGGACTTGAGCAGATCAGCTGCAGCACTCCAAGCCCCATCGCCTTCACTCCTGGTAAGACAGGACAGGCTCCAATGATATTAGAGGAAGGACAGTGAAGTATCCCAAATCAGCGTCAATATATATTAACTGCTAATGAGACCAACCAAATTAGCCAAAATCAGAGTTACCTTAACAAATTTAGTAAAGAAACAAATATCCTTGTTTGGAAACCTGCAAAATGTAGTAAGGCCAGTTGAAGATAGACCTGTATAAAGTTCCAGCCTTTATTTGTTTTAGTTAAAAATGGCTCTTTAGAATAAAGCCTTATTTACCAAAATGCAAAAATTTAGCTAATTTTACGATTGATCTTGCGTAGTACAATGATTTTGAAACATTATATACAAAATTTTAAGTCAATCTGGTACTTAACAAGGAGAGTATTTGTCCACAGAGGCGTGCTCCCTTTGCTCCTATTTAGGCGTGTACTAAGATTCACCGATCCGTAGTACAGTTTTCTTAATAGCTGCTTGAACAGACTGATTAACTTTAGAAACACCCAGCACCATTTTTTATAGTCTGTAATTTGAATCAGGTCTCTGAAGAGACATATGCATGTGTGCCTGCCCTCATTTGGCAAATCTATACCCATTTCAATGTAATGTAGCAGCAAAAATGACATTTAAGAGGTACTTACCCTGTCCGCCAGTATTAGTTATGCTGAGCCATTCAAGTGATACAGAAAACCCACTGCCTTTTACATCCGATTCATCCTTCTCAATTCGCAGTAGGAGAGCCTCCACTGTGTGAGTGCCAGTGCTCACATATGAAAGGCTGTTAATGATGATAAATGGCTCCCCAATATCTTGGTTAAACAACATCTGAAAACATATTTTACAGGCACAGAAGAAAGAAACAATACATTACATGAGTCACTCCGATTGGCAGTAAAAAAACAGAAACACATTTCTTCTCTTTGTTTCGGTGGTACAGATTTAGAAATACTCGTGGATATAAACTTAGAATCTGAAATCTGTTGTGTCCACAATGACACCTGGGAAGAAAACGACACAAAGCAGGTGTATAAAAATCAAAGTTTGAGCAAAAGAAAACTACTCATTTTCACAAACTGCAGCCTGAATTCACATTCACATTTCAACCGGTGTGATACTGAAGACCCAGAAAAGGGGTTCTGAAACCAGTACTGTTGACAATAGAAGTGGCAGACAAAGAAAACCCAAAAGGTGTTCATGTTTCTACAAGAACAGTAAGACGCATGTTAGCGCAAAATAATCCTAAAACACGTGTGGTTGCTCAGAAACCCCTGCTGAAAGGAAATATAAAAATGAAATCAAACCTGGATAAATTAGCTTTTTATACACAACTTTGGGTTCTTTAGCAGTAGTCAATGGCAGGTTGGAAAGCTATGTAAGAGTCCTAACTAGTTTACAACAGCTACAGCATGAAAGCAGATCGTACTGTAGCATGGCGAATTAAGAGTGTCGCAGATTAACACGAAATTCAAGGTACCCTGTCTGCCACCAAGTACAGACAGCTTGGATCCATCTATAGGAGTACATTCCAGCGAGAAGAGACTCATGCTTCAGCATTATGTTAAATCAAAAGTACATACCCGATTTCTATGCAGTGTAGAGAAAATGTTTTGGGGAAATAAAGAAGCTGATGGGACACTTACAAATATATTCTGCCCTTCAAAATGTCCTGGTATGATCATCACTGAGGCCGTATCGTACTTCATGGAAGCTGAGAAAGCTCCCAATAACTTATCTGAATTATGGACACTGTTAAGTTCGGAGCAATGTACTATTTGCCTTAGCTGCTTATCCTGCAGCAGAAATGTTTTCTGTAATAATGAATGGTGTTTACACTGTGACACATTCGCTTAATATAATTGCACTTTTTGCCAAATATGGTCTTTTGTCAATTATTTCCAATACTTTATGTTTGAGGATGCACTAAACACTAAAGTATAGAAAGACTGTAAATGCAGCAAAACACTAACAATGGTAACAGGAGACTCCAGGCTACATTTAAGAGGGGCTAAGAGTTATTTAATTTGACAAAACATCACAATTAGTTGAACACCATCTGTTTGTTTTTTTCCCCAGTGCAGGGGACATTTTCAATAATCAGACAAGTGTTCGATAACCACGATGAGCTTCAACCATATAAAATTTGAATCTCAAGATAAGATTGAAGTAATTAAGTGACAATTTGGACTAAAAATCTAAGAATGGGTTAACCATTCTACTTTAAAGATTATTCTCTGGTGTCTTCAGATTCACAAATATTCAAACTGACGCCCACACAGCTTCACTGTAGTGGTCCTCTGTGGTTTGTGAGTAATAGACTATTGCTTCACACCAGCATCTGATGACAATGATTTTTCATTTGGCAAAAAAATAACAGTCTCTGATTTCAATCAGCAAGTAAAATTATGCTCATTATTTTCTCAGAGAACTAATGTTGTATGAAATGCACATTTTAAAAATGGTTAACACAGTAGATGTCCATATATCTATATTGCACTGTGAAAAACAAATATAATACATGTTTGAAAAAATAAAACAAAAATTAACATCAATTGAATATGGTTACAATAGCACATTTTTTCACAGACCTTTTCTGACTGCACTGAAAATTCTGATAATACAGAAAATGAACCAAATGACCACCACATGATAGAAAGATTTAATAGAATCCACACTGAGACATTAGTGAGATTATACATTTGTTATTAAGCTTAGCTACTTTGAAGAGGTAACCTGTATGATTATTATATCCCATTGAGATAATAATAAGAGCACATAAAAAGGAAAGAATGATTTATGCTCTGCTTTGTATCCTCCATGGCAGTTCAAAATGTACGTATTCGTAACTGTAGAGCTCTTCTGACCTCAGGCTACAGAGGATTAATTAATTTAAAACTCCATGTGTGCTTATCATTTAGCCTGTGCTGTGTTAGTGTTTTATCATGCCTGTCATGTTATCAAATTAATATTCTGCTAGTAACTGCAGATGTTAAATCATCATACATCTAAGCCACTGCTTAAGAAAAAGCAGTGTGTGAAAGAAAACCACATTCATAGAACAAGAAAATACTTTGATTTCTCCGTTTAGATAATAATTACAATAATTAGTCAAAACAAGCAAACAAAAAATAAGTGTAACATCTGTTTATAAAATTGGTTATATTCTCAGTAGTTATTCAAAGCTAAGCTTGCTTCTAATGTGTATTGTTAGAAGTGTGCTATATTAATACAGGCCTGAATTGAACTCTAATGTTTAAATATACTTTCACAAACAAAGCAGACATGGAGTCTTGTCTAAAAAAATAAGATAGCAATAAAAAGGTCACCTATATAACCTGTGTAAATCATTTGGCAACCCTCTTATAAAACATAAAATGCCATTATTAAGCTAGTATATGTAAATTTTCAGAAAAAAGCAATGCATTCCAAAGCAAAGCCATGAACGTATTCGAGTAGACCTCTAATATGTACCTTGGATCCTTAGAAACATTCCAAAACACAGGCCAATTCATAATTTGGAGCGAGGAGTTGGTTTTTGTCAGTCAATCTGCTTGGAGCAAAACTCTCAGCCTGCCACAGGACTCTACTAATGCTCCGTCGGGATTTTTTAGGACATGTAGTGAAGATTAACAGTGTGGCTTAAACTCTAACACTCTAACACACTGTTGGCTGGCCTGGTAAATGTATCTGCGCAGCCTTCAGACCTACGGAGGAATCCTACCTCCCACTTCGCATGTGCACTGTCCCCTCTCTTGCTGGTTCTCAGGAGACACAGCTTGCCGGTCCCGTCGGACAGGGCGACCCAGGTGGAGGACACAAAGCTCAAAGAGGCACACAGGCGGTTCTCGCACGTGCTGAGGTCCGACGGGATCCTGAACACTTCCCTAGGTTTTCCCAAAGCAGTGTCCTGGGATTTAAAAAAAAAAAAAAAACAAGCCGTCAACAACTGGTTCTGTCTTGTTCCAGTGCTAATAGGGAACAGCAAACCAATAACTTGCCCTACAAAATAGTTGACTTTTGCTCTTTCACTCGCTCAGTCAGTAGAGGTTTTCTGAGCAAGTGCTCCATTCTAGAAGTGGACTAGTTGGATATTCTTTTCAGGTGAAGTTTCCAAAAGCTGTAATACCCCACAGATCTTTGCGAGGGATTTAGAAATGGAGTTTTGCCACAGAGTTAGTCGACTACCCTTGAGAAGAAGTCTGTTATTTATATCATTGTTTGCACAGCTCTCTTCCCCGGGTAAAAAGAACATCTGCCACTTATTTTAGCTTATGTTTTAAGTAAAACTTTGATTTTATTTTTGCCGTTGTTGAAGAGATCGTAATATTCCGAGCCCAGCCTTGTATAAGACAAGAAGGAAATAAATAATAGGGAAATGTTAATTACATAAAGTACTCCTTTATAAAACAGAGTACATTCACAAAGTGCTTTAGGAGGCCATTAAGCTTTCTTGTGTTTCACCGCAGGGCACCAAAAGGATGTAATGTATTGAGTGCAGATTTCCACAACAAAAGCAGAACTAAATATTCAGAACCATCAGTGTGAAGAATATTGAAAAAACATTATCCATGATCAAAATTCCACACACCAGTTCAATTAACTCCACTGCAGAATACAGGTAAAATAACTGCAGTCCGGCCAAGCTAAATACACATGAGGAAATGAAATGAAATTCGGCAAACACATCAATGAGAAATTAAAATGTTCAATCAAAGCCATGTCTTTCTACCACACACACCGGATGAGAAGTGATTTGAAAAATATATGTATTAATTTGTATTTACAGTATATATATTATAATATATATACTGTAAATATAGCCTATATTATTATGCATTTAATGGGTGGTGATCAAAGCCAGTTGTAGATAAGATGCCTGGTTCAAAGTTTAATGCCTGCATTACATAAAATATGCAAATTAGATTTTTTTAAATGATATTTTGTCATGATTGAAAAATCAGTCTTTTTACCCATAAGGGAGACAAGGTTTCATTCCATCTTTTGTATTAGTCAGATCAAATCCCAGATAAGCTACTGTAACCAACTGTCTCCAACACGGCTGGGTAACTTGCTCCATACTCCCACAACCCTTTGAGTAAAGGGGTGTTTCCCGTTTTTTAATTGAAATTCCCTTCCACAGTTTCTATTTTGTGTCTTTTGGTTAGTGTTTTACTGCCAGATCTGAAAAAGCTGCTGTGGAACATGTACTGTACAATTACAGGCACATTAGAATTGCTAATTATAATTAGTAAAAATTCAAATTATAATGACTAATTAAAGCTTTATAAATACTAATTTGTACTAAATGATACAGACCGCACACTCTACACATCTGGAGCCCTGTGCTACAGGTTTGGACTCTGAGGTTCCAGTTTCCCAGTAGGCAAATTGGAGCAGTAATGGTGGGTACACTGGCGCACCATTTAGCCAGCCTACATATTATTCATAAGGGATTAGGGCCATGTACAGCTTTTATTAAACGAAGGCTGAAAATCATTAATCCTGCAGCAGAAAGATTTTTATGTGTCACTAATGACTACATACCATTTTCAAAGCACACAATTAGCAAACTTTGCAGGTGCCAAAGACCTTCCTACTTAACTAATTACTTTAAACACATTAACAGTACATTTGCTTAGGTATTCAACTGAGGATTTGTTGCCTGTAAAGAAAAACGTCCAAGTTTACAAATATAATAAATGTAATTATGATGCATACAAAACCATACTAAAGAGAAACATCCAATTCAGTAAAAGTCTAAATCAAATGCAATGAGAATCTCACTTATGGTAGACAACGGTTATACTTTCAAAGTAGCAGAAGGTATTCTTTTGAGAAGTGAAACTAATAACTAAATCAATTGCTATTTTTGTGACCAAAGTTCCTTGTTTATATGAAAATTATATTACGAAGGGCTTTACTGAATTGACCCCTGCTAATCTTTAATTTAAAACTTCCATTCACCTACATGAATCAATATACACACACCACCACATACAGGTACTGTATACTGTATGAAGACTGTATAGTGCAGTTTGACCACTATCGTCCAGAGACTGCTGGTTAGGAATCTCTTCTAGTTTAGTAGCTGATTGTGAGTGAGAGTACCTAGAGGATATTACAGAGCTGTCCCAGCACAGAGAGGATTAGGAGTGCCTGAAGTTGCCTGGGATTTTCATGGTCAGGACAACACCTTGGAGTCTGAAGTGATATCAGTGAGAGAAGCACTAAGGCCTTCATTTCGTGCATCAGTGAGTTTTCCATTCTGAGGCAACAGAGTTGAAGAACAATTAATTTTGTCTTCACCAAATCAGGTTACGAAAAGAAAACAAAATGAACCAGCGATTTAAAGTGAAAGCAAAAGAAGTCTTCTTTACAAGCATTCTTTAGTGAGGCAACAAACTCCCTTTTCCTTTCCATAAAAATTCTCAAACCAGATATAATACAGTTCAGGTGGGGAGCTGCGTCAGCATGCTTAGGCTGCAAAGGAACAAGTAATAGGTTTATTCCATGCTGAAAAGAGAAGAGAGAAAACGCAACGTTTCGGCCGTGGAGCCTTCTTCAGGTGTGAGGTGTAATGTGTTTTAGTTACCCATTTATTACAAATTACGATGAAGGTACTAAACCTATTGTGTATTAATCCATGAAAAGTAGGTTCAGTATAACACTCTACACCTCACACATGAAGAAGGCTCCAAGGCCAAAATGCTTTGTTTTCTTTCTCTTTTCAGCATGAAATAAACCTATTACTTGTTGCTAGATGTAATATATATATATATCCATCAGTGTTTTAAGAAAAATGGATATATATTATATGCAATACAGGGTAAGAGGCACAAGGCAGGGCACCTGCTGGGCGGGACGCCAGTCCATCACAGGACACACTCAGACACAGACTCACACAAGGGGCCAAGTTTCCCAGAAGCCAATTAACCTACTTGGATGTTTTTGGCCTGTGGAAGGAAAGCAGAGCACCCAGAGGAAACCCACACAAACACAGGGAGAGCATACAGACAACACCTCAGGTCCAGTTAGCAATGCTAACCACTGCACGACCGCGCCACCTCTCATTAGAGTAAATTAATGTGTAAAAACTGGACTATAAACCACCTAAAGATGATAAAAAAAGAATGTATGTTCATTTACAAGTTTCATTAGTGCATTATCTCATTTCAAAATGTATTAACTCTTTAATTTATTTTAGTTAGCCATGTGCAAACTAATAGTGAAGTGCTAGAAAGAAGAGCTATTACAAATTACTGTGAAGGTACTAAACCTCATGTGTATTTATCCATGCAAAGTAGGCTCAGTATAACACTCTACAGTTAATTTACGGAACTTCTACCTCAACCCCTGTCCCCCTACGGACAAATTACGAAAAATAAACTTTTTGAAATGAAGTGAATTTTTAAACAAATATCACGGGTGAGTGGGTAGGACGAATAACTTCAATATACTGTAGCATCTTGGATTTCAGCAGATTAAGCCTGTCAAAGTTTTTAAGCATAGTGCACACAATGTTGAAATCCTCCCACAGGCACAAAACACACACAGATACAACATTCCCCAAGCCTGCTTTTATTCTGATATTTGTTTTCTAGAAACTCTTTTTAAAAAATTCCTATTTCATGCCACAGTCCTATGGTCAGCATTATCCTACAGTATTTGTAATGCCGATATGACCTTCACAGACCAAAAGGGGAAGAGTTTTTTTTTTTAAATGTGTAAAATTAGTATTAATCTTAGGGAACTAGAGATGTCTTCAAAGAAACTAACCAAATTCCCTTGCTTCAAAAAGGTACCTTTTCACTTTTGGTGCATTTTTGGTGGCTTATTCTAATCCAGATCGAGGCGAGACCAAGGTTAACATATCTATGTCACAGAACTGGGTGATTTGCAAATTCTATACTGGCTTCAGACATAAATGAACTGCTAGCTACAAATAAATGCCAGAAAGCACAATTAGTGAAATGATCCATAACAGATTTTAGGCTTTGTTCCCAAAAGCAAACAATCTGACTTAGCTGACCAAGCTGAAGAGCAAAAAAAAACTGCATCACACATTAATGCAATTTATAGCATTATTTCACACACTGATATGAATACATTTACGCAGGTTGACTGCATTCTAAAAAACGTGAAAAGAAAAGCAGTACCTAAGTGCTCAACAACCTTTATTTCAAATACGATGCATAATTTATTTTGGTGAAATTAATACTTTTCTCAAACATTTAATGTGTAGCTCATACTGGCTGGAAAATAAACCGCTTCTTTTACATCAGAAATTGCCTCTTCTCTCACCGGGTGCTTTCCAGCACTATTGCATCGGCTTCATAAAACCTGACAATTGCTACAGATTTTTTTTTTTCCTTCAGGGAAACATAAATATTAAATCGAAAAGGCAAGAAGCAAAAGTTAAATTACAGCAACTATTTTCTCACTAATATAGAACGAGAGCTGTGCAGAGAATATTAACATGGTAAAACTGGGTAACAAATATTAACACTATCCTGTTGGTTCACATTCACTCTCAAAACGGATGGCAGGTCGATGCTTTTCCATTTCCACACGCAGCCCAAATCCCAGATTTTAACCTCCGCGAAAGCAGGAAAAATATTGAGAGGAAGACTTAATCCTGAAATCGAAACTGTAACCCTTTTAAATGTCAAAACTACAAGAACAGCAGGTGGCCAGGATCTGTGAATGAGAAATGGGTAAACACATTCCTCATTACCACCAGTTATTACGGGCATTTTATTCTCTATTTTATCATCATTGCCATTGTCCGATAGAGCTGACAAGGAATAAACATCGTTTTATGGCCAACTGGACACCAGCGGCTGAGGAGGCCTTTAGATCTTTGCAAAACACTTAGTGCATCACAGTAGCACTTAGCGCCACAGACATCAATACTGAAACTATTGTCCCAAATGAGGCATCAGAGTGCATCCACACTATAGTGTAATGATAATGGGGGAGGGATCTGCTTGAGCAGAAACAGTGATCTGCTTGAGCAGAAACGTCTGCCCTAGGAAAGAAGGTATGACATGGCCTTGTCCTTGTAACCCACCGTAAACTGAAGTCCCCCTCCTTAATCCTTACCCTGTGTGTGTGTAACCCCTCTGAGGAGTTTCAGTCTCTGTCTGTCAAAGTCCCATGGGTGGAAGTAAATAAACGTGTTGTTGCCGGCACATCAGGGATGTGCGAGCTTCATTCTGTGCGAATCCCCCGGTCATTACAATAGTTTAAAGTGCATCATGTCAATCGACGGAATTCCATTGGCATTTACCCCTCTTTGCGCGCATTTCGGAGTGAAAGAGCCTTGGGCCTACGAACACCCAAATCCAGCCCTGGCAGGAGCTGTTTATGCTTCAAACATTCAGCATTAATGGGAAGTAGGTGGTTCCAGTTTCAGAGGACATATAAGTTTGCACCTCTGACATGAACATCAGCAGGACACATCACTGACAGAATGCAGGGTGGTGAGCCGCTTATTTTAAATCTACCCTTCTGGCAGACGAGATAGCAGTGATGTTTATTACCCTCTGGCATGCATGGCTGTGGCTCATGCACATGAGTTGCCCTGTTTCCACTGGGTATATACAAGCTTAAGTGTTAATCGTACACACCGCTCACAATAAAGTTGGCTGAAGAGCCATGCTCGGGTTTTCTGCATGTTATTTTACATGCACCGAGTTAAGAGGGGAAACCACACACAGCAGATCTGAGACGAGAGGGTACGCCTCGACTCTCTCAATCCAAATCTGAAACTTTTAGGAAGATTTGCAGCCACTTCAACACACGCCATCCATTTAAAATGCTTACCAACGTCACCGTGAGATTCAGCACCCTGTTCATCTGGTCAATGTAGTACACACTGTCCTCGTACCAGGGGTCAATGTGCAGGTAGTTATACATGCCAAAGGCACGCACGTGATCCAAGGTGTATTGATTATCCCGAAGCTTGACCTCAGCCACACCTACAAAAGAAATAAAAGGAGGTTATCCTTGTGCAACCTGGCATGCCTGGCATAAAATAACACTGTAAGACATTGCCGCCGTTACTGAAATGCTAATTAGAAACATGATTTCTGCTTTAAAACAGAACCATTGAATCCGAATTGAATTTGCAGCTTGAGAATAGTCTCATTTTTGTGCAATGTCGTCTAAGATGATTGAAAGATGAGACCGCCAGTCACAGACTTAACGTTGCTTTTTAATGAACGAGTATTATTACCACTGGCCTGTCAGACAACATTATATTAACAAGAAAGCACAGCAGCATGTGTACAGAACAGGCAAGCTAAAACAACACTCCTGTTCTTAAGAATCTGCACTGGTACCCTGTATTTTATCATATTGATTTACAAAGCAATCCGGAGTCTGGCTCCAACTTATCTGCTGTTATCTGAGCCGTTACCACAACACATCTGTGCTTATGCTTTGCCATATAAAGAATAAGAGGTTTTGAATGTTCTAAGCTTGTGATTGAAACCTGAGGGTGTGCAATCCATCTCCTTATCAATGGTGTTCCCTCCTGATTATATCAGTCTACACATCTGTTGTCTTTCCAAATCCCAAAATACAAATTATTACAAGACTCATCTCTTTGAGTTTCCTTTTGATGATATTTTGTACCACGTAGATTAAACAATTATTTGATTATGCAGAGTTCCTTTATGCAGGGTTATCGTGGAGGAGTCGCCCACAGAGAGTGCTGATTAATCAATTAAAAGTTCTGCAGCTGCTTTGAAAATCTGAGGCATTACTGAGTCAGGGCCATTCCCAACAAAGTCCAAAAACATAAAGTAAAGAACGAAATCTCTTCCTGCAAATATTGTTGTATGAAAGGCATTCATATTTTTTAAAATAGTAATTTAATTTAACGGACCTTAATACCTTATTATCATCATATAAGAGACCAAGTTAAAGGTTTATTCCATGCTGAAAAGAGAAGAAAGAAAACACAACGTTTCTGTGGAACCTTCTTTCTCACACCCGAAGAAGACTCCACAGCCGAATCGTTGTGTTTTCTTTCTTCTCTTTTCAGCATGGAATAAACCTTTAACTTGTTCCTTTGCAGCCGACGCATGCTGAACTACCTGAACTACTTATTATCATATAGTTTTTTGCACAGCTGAATACAAACTATAATAGCTAAACTATAGGAGCAGATATTTATAAAGGCAAGACACAAAACACATTAACATCAAACATTGTTTTTAAACTTTTAACACACATTTCCTGTTTTCCATTAGTGAAAAATATTACTGTATTTCCAATGATTTGACTACTTTTGACTGTAAATTAAGAACTACTAGAGTTAAAGATGTATTCTTCTGTTTGAGTTTCTTTTTTTAAAATGTGCTCTCAGGGCCTTAACTTTGGTCCTACAAATCACAGGTCTTACAAACTTGTAGACAGACTTTTCTTCTATTTTAGATCATTCTTGAAGAATCTGAGAGAGCTCTCCGCATTCTAATCATTCCACCAACAGATGCCAATTAAACTTAAATACATGCCAACTAATTCACAAAACCTGAACAGCTCACTGCCTTAGAGAATTGTCCCACAAACTCTACCATGATTGATTAGTACACAAAATGTTCAAAAATGCTAATGCCTTCTTAATTATGATGCGACATAACCAAGAAAGATGCATTGGCTGTATTAAGACTTCCGGAATTTTAAAGAGGTAGTAATATAAAGATATAAAAGTTTTGCCCTTGACAGAATGACTTACTGCAAAGCAATTAATCATTTATTATAAATGTATTAACGGTCAGACTATACATCATTTCAGCCACTGTGTATGTATAAGTCACCTAAATCATTTTGTTAGTAGTACACCACACTGCTAGCAGCCTTGTTACATAGTGTACAAAAATTCATTTTAAACCCCCTAGCTATTCACATCAAATAGCTTTCGCATTACTCCTGCATATATCATTACACACTTAAATCAAACCTTAAATTCTTAAAGCCTTACCATTTATCACACACACACACACACACACCAGGAGCAGTTTACCCAGAAGCCAGTTAACCTAGCAGTATGTTTTTGCACAGTGGGAGGAAACTGGAGCACCCCAGATTAAACACATTTGAATATGGCCAGAACAGACAAACTCTGTTTGTAGAAGACACAGACACCTATCCCCGCTCTGGAATCGAACCCGGGGCCTCAGGCAGCAAAGCCCAACACTACGCCTCAGGGCCTCTCACTAAAACTCATGTAAAAGGGGGAAAAAGTAACTTCACTCGCTTCATTTTAAGCTCCATTTCAGATCACACCACGTACTTATTATTTTTTAATACAGAAAATGAAACCATTTTGCAAATTACCTCGGCATTCACACGGACTCCTAGTCCCTGAGAGCTCCAGCCCTCCCAAGTCTCATAAGAATTTGACACAGTGGGAATTCAGATCATAAAGATCATTAACAATTCAGCCAGAACAAAAAGCCCAGAAGACCCTGTGGCTCACCAACAACAGGGCCAAAACAAAATAAAAATTTCAGCCGTGTAACCACTTATGAAACTAGAGGATTTGATCAGGAAAAGAAAAGCTGCAAGAAATTACTTACTTGAATTTGCAATAGGCACTTCAGTAAAAATCCTTCATATAACCAGGGCCTAGAAGTGCACATCACTCCATTAACAAATATCCAGGGGTGCAGCTGAAAGCAGACTGGAACTCATTAAAAGCCCTACCAAGAAAGCCCTTCTGCAATTTAAATCTACCAAACATCAAAAGAAACGTGGCTCGTAATTATGACACATCCACAAGGTTAGAATCAAGAAAATAATCTTTTTGGCAGGGAGTGTACTGACAAATTACTGAACCGACATGACACTGGTGAATTCATTATGCTTCTTCACGTGCCATCATCAGGGCTGCCTACTGTGAAAGTCACAAGCTGGGAGTGTGTGTGGCCACCACTGGAAACAACAATCTATGTAGCTACAATGCCTGCTTTGCACCTGGTTAAAGATGTAGGATCGTCACAAGACAACATGCTTCTTCGTTATTCTTGGAGCCCGCGATGCCATCTCGTCTATAAATGTTAGAACTGAAGAAAATACAGTTAAAATCTGAGGACCTGGGCATCCACATCACAAATGTCGCGTCCTCGCTTGTAAGACAAACACTGTTACATGAGCAGCATGATCACAGTAATTGTGGGAGTGTTGTCATCTAAGGGTGTGTCCACAGGAAGCAGTGGAGATTCTAGGACTTGATCAATGTAACTCCACGCAGGCAGGCATTCAGTCCTCAGGATCACGTGTGTGCAAGCAACACTCATGCACTGACAAATTAAAAACTGTGACTTGTACAGTGCAAGAACTTAGGTGAGGCTAAGGACTGAGTCATAGGCACTAATACTGTGTATATCGCATAAGAACGAGCAATAAACTATCTATATGCCAAGCAGTTTATCACTCAGAGAAGAAACACAACCTACTACTCCATTTTTCATTGGGAAGTGAAGTCCATGGTTGAATTGAAAAGTCCATTAGGCTAGAGCCCATTTACTGTAGCATTACGCACAATGGACGGACATGACTCACCCACACAGTCCATCAGTTACCCCCCCCATTAAAGGAGGAATTTACGCAGCGGGGTTGCAATGAAGTACCTTGCACCTTGCTCAAGAGTGCAAAAGCAGTGTCTGCTGTAGAAATGCGAACCGACATCCTTTTCGAGCAGGAGTTCAGAACTCCTAACCCCGTCCCCTTCATTACAAAGAAAAAAAGAGAATGTTTCATGTTGTGAAAAAATGGTACTTTTTCGCTGGAGTGCTGAACACTAACAAAAGAGGCACTTAAGAAGTTAGGAAAGAAAGAGGTTTCTGCGACTTTGAAACAAGATTGGCTCCCCCCCCCAGTCTACAATTTTCTTCTGTTGAACACCACATTTCTTATATAGATTGCACTATCACCAGTCTAAAACAATATAGTTAGACTGCAGGAGAGGAGCTCTGTTCTTAAAACCAAGGGTAAATGACTGCCTAATGGAGACCTTATGCAGCGCTTGAAATGTAAATCAAATCCCTTTTCACTTTTAATAATTCCTCATATTTAAAGTCAAATTCGGCTGCAGCCAATTTGACCAGTGAAGTATTAAACAACGGAAAAAATGAACGTAAGATCAACTGCAATTAAAAAATGTAACTCATATAAATATTTAACATCTGTAACAGGTATTATTAAAAATAAGTCAATTACAAGTTAACATCTAACCATTTAATCTCTTTTAGTTCCAAATCCTATGAAAATTGAAAATATTGAGTAAGCTGTTTCGTTCATGATGACAAAATCATTTGTACTGCACTTGTGCCATCTTGTGGCAATCAAACCTAAACCTGGTTCAAGGAACTTCCTTCCTTTCTGAAACTTCTGTCTCTAGTCATTTTGATTCAAGAGCCAGAGACTGAGTTTATTCTAGGGATCAAAACCAGGGACTCAAAATGTAGAATCATCGCCGAATTCATCATTCACGTGTATAGTTTTGAATCAACTGATCTTGGCAACATCAGGGAGACTAAAGTGGTACAGTGCATTCAAAGCTCTTACAAAATATTGTCCAAGGAAATGTTGTGTAGGTTTAAAAAAAAATGTCTAGAGATATTGGAATTGCAAATAAAAATGGAATTTCATATTCTGTACAACTTCCATCTGCTCTAATTATTGTAAAATCCTTTGGGGCATCCATGAGCTATGAACAGCTATATTTTCAGTACAGTTTGGCAACTGTGGTGAATGTTTGTGAATGTTAATATTTTTTCTATCTAGGGTGCACTGCTCAGTGAATTGCAAATAACATTAATAAGGGAACTACCTAGAAGGGAAAAATAGTTTCTCTCCTCCCAGGGGTTTAGACCAACGCAACACAGACAATGTACTCCAGATGGGAAATTGTGTTTGAAATTAGGACACCTTAGCATTATGTTTAGATGAGTACAGATCACAGATTTTAACAAAACTCTTTTAAAATATATGGATTTTTACTTATGTACATACATATTTGGCATATTAACTATGCAGGCAGTATGGAAGACAAAACACACATAAAGGATATACAAACACCCAGTGACACTGAAAGGGCTTCATCTCAGATTGAGATGGTGAATTATTTCATTACATTCCTATTATTCCATTAACTTTCAATTACTAAAACATAAATCTCCAAAAAAAGACAAATGAACTATATTACTGTATCAATGAGGCTATGGCAGCTAGAAATACCAGCGTTAACTTTCTAATCCACTTATGTCAGCCAGTCTTTTTTTTTTTTAACACAGCTCTAATGTGAGCATGAAATCATTTAGCAATTCAAATGTCCAGATCAATGCTGACCACACCTGATCTCAGAGGCCTGCAGTCCAGTTGGTTTTATAAGTCTGTTTAAGTCTCCAAACCACAGGGAACAGGGAAAAAGAGTTATGAGTGGAACTGCATTAAAAACCTGCAAACACAACAGTACTACGAGTCTGTCATTGGGCAATTCAGGTTTAGCATTTGAAGAATGCTGCTAACTGTAGTGGCCATAGCCATCCTAAGATGCCAAAGGCTTTTCAGCAGAGAACAGGAAAGATAGAGGAGTTCTCATCAAAGAATAAGAGTGCGCAATTACTGGACATTGCTCATAAAGATAGGATATAGAGGTAATATTAAGGAGGTCCCCCAGTACCAGTATTACATCATAGTTTATTACATCTTTAAGCTTCCTTAAAGAGGGAACCCGAGTTTGGTCAAAACGTTCATCTTGTGACTAAACTGCCCCGCAGGAAGCCCAGGGTGGTCACAAAAATCAAGAAATAGGCCATAGGCCATACACAGAAATTATATTGGGGAGGAATGGGGGTTCTCAGCTGCCCTAGGTTTTCTTTTTACCTGCAGGGAACCTTGCATTCCACAGTTTACTGAATTCATTCTTTCCTCAAAAACTGTTATGGAATTTCAAAATTCCTATAAGGATTTTTACATTACACGTAAAAGCTTATGACACATTTCTAAGGCGCAGATAATTGCCATAAACTATTTATTGCTACCACCTTAAGAGCATAAAATTGGCAAACTAACATTGCATCTTTATGATCACCAGTCAGATACTATGGTTTGCTACAGTAGAAAACAAAACAAAATATGAAAGGTTGCACACTATTGAACCTATACACAGCACAGTTCAAGGTAATGCTATTGGCATTCTTTTGACTATTTGTCTTTTTCCATCTCTTCATCACTTCAGGTTTTACAACCAGGTATAATGGCTTTATTTTCTTTTATCTGTAACACATGAAGCACTAGCAACAAGATGATGCTGCAAATAAGCAAGACATTCAAAGACAGAATCACTGATATCACAAGGAAAGCACTTTAAATGTAATGAAAGTGACTTTTTACAGTGCCAAAGACAGGTATTAAAATACATGCTTCTTTTTAGCAAAAATCAAATTTCGTGAATTTATATACAGTACATGTGTATAGTTGCACTTCTTGCCAGTTATAGAACTTCATCAAAACAGATTTCCATAGTTTATACTTTTTCTGATTATTGTATTTTAAACAATTATGCCTAATAAAGATAATACATGCCATACTCAGAGGACAGCTGACTGAACATACTGATCAGTTAATCAGCACATGTAGCAAAATTGCCATCTAATGAAAATGCATCGCCTTCTTAGTACATTTTAAAGGGATATATTTAGATGTATAATTCAGTAACAGTTAAATGTGTTCTGTTTTGCAAGGTTAAATTAATTTAAGTACAGAGCAAGGATGAAACTTCATTTTCTTATGAACATATCTGGATATCATTTACCAATCACCCTGTAATTAATTGTCATTTGGCAATGCTTGACTGCAAAAGATGTGTGTAATAAATCGATATTATTCCTAATTTGGTTAAAAAATTGAAAACCCTCCTTGTCTCCAAATGAGCTTAACTTTTTGTCTCTGTCTCATCTTCTCAAACTAAAATCAACGTAAACAAACAGCTGATTGATACTAAGATTGTAATATAAAGGTATAAAGTAGTGTAACTGAGGAGACAAGAAGTTTGTGGTTCTTTCTCGAAGAACATATGAAGACTGTTAAGAATAAGGATAACTTTTAAGTTGAACACCATATTATTAGACCACAATTTTGTAAAAATAAAAAAATACCACAGCGCAGCAGACAACATATAAAAAAACAACTGTTTCCCCTAAACAAGTCTTTACACTCTTCATATCTATAATACTCTTATATACAACCACAAGATTTTACTGTTGTTCTCAATTCTCTAAATGGACTTACCAGCATCAAGCTCAATTTTATAGATTGGTAAAGGGTCGAGAGACAACCTGTAACTTTCAAAGCTGGGATCCAGTAGCTGCCTGTTTACTTTCAAAGAGTAATTTGAAGCCGCCATTTCGTAATGAAACTATAGAAAACTGTACTTGTCTAAATTGATAGCGGATTGCGTTTCTTCTTTACTGAAAATTCTCTATTATGCCAAAACCCCACGCGTTTCCTGTTTGTTCCACTTCGGAATTATGATGAAAAGGAACCTTTTATGCCCTGTGGTGTTGTGGGATTTGTAGTTTTATTTGATGAATTTGCGAACGGGAGGCCGTGAAAGATTTAGAAAAAGGTCACATATTGAGGAACACCAGTTAAAATAACGGCGAGCACCGCTAAAAAGGTATTAACATTTATATTATTTTCTTCTGATTTTAATTTTCTGTTTGCCTGTTATTGCTTTCATTTATCACAACAAGAGCTGCATTTAAAGGAACAAGCAGAGGCAAATTCCACACTGGATAGAAAAATATATAAAGGAAAACAAACATTTCAGCTACGACGTCTTCTTCAATTGTGTGCAGAAAAAAAGAGCATTTAAATATACTTTACAAAACTTCCTTAAATGTAGAACTCAGTTTCCCAATGTGCAGCGGTTAGAGCTAGGAACTTATATTCTTCCATACAAGTGGCAGCACGGAATATAAAATTTGGAGGCGCGGCATGCAGGTTTGTTTCCCAGAGAGCTGAGAGAAGAACAGCAAATTAACTGAATGCGACAGTAAAGCCTTGTGGAGGTTTTTGGTGAGGTTTGCTACATTGTCTCTACCAAAAAATGTTTATATACGCTTCATAAAGAAGCATTGAATCTGTATGTCAACTCACATGTTGATACCGTTATGACAAATAATATAATGTCGAAAAAGGGGCAAAACCAAATATGGGGATATATGGCAAAAAACAAACGTGAATAATTTCAAGTCCACGTTGTCTGGACGTTTTGAAAATCAAATCAAATCAAATCCTCGGTTAAAGCAAACAATCGTGTCTGGGCCATGTTTACAAAGCTGTGAGAATATCAGTGTTGTTATTGCTGCTACTGTGTTGAGGAAACCCGGTTTGGAGAATATTGTTTTCACGTCAACATGTGAAAATATCATGTTCAAAAAGATTTCATTAAAAAAAAATATTCGAATAAACTTTCTATCCGTAATGCAAATGTAATATTCCAGTGTAAGAGAAGTACCTAGAAATCATTTGCGATTGTTAAATTGTGTGATCTGTTGTCTGTGATTACTAAGTGATTATTAGCTATTTCGATTTAATTGACTTTTTACCGGCATAATCGAAGGGCGTTTATGCACATTGGATATTGTCAAATAAAAAAGTAAAGGACATGTTCTGTTGCGTGAGTAGTAATCGGACGTGTTCAGAAAACTATCCATTTTAAATGAACGCAGAAGCAAACCCAGGTTTCCACGGCGTGGTTACGTGCTAACAGTGTTCTTTGTCTCGGGTTGCGTTACAGGTTGAAGAAAATGAGTAAAGAGGCACAAATGAGAGCGACAATTAACCAGAAACTAATTGAAATGGGCGAGCGAGAGCGGTAAGTGCCACCGAGTTTGGAAATGATCAAAGTTATATTACAGTTATATTACATTACAGTACGCGGTGACTTTCACCTGCAGGTAAAAACTGGTTGGACATTTGTTGCACTGTAGTTGGGACATAAACGGGTCTAATGGCAAATTGCGCTAATGAAGCAGTGGCATTATCAAGGATATTATCAAGATAGAGAGGTGACTGAACTAGCCAGCGGGGTGGTGTTATTTAGTAAGACTAGTCCATTTCAAATCGAGGAACGTAAAACCAGGGCTAAGCAAAGCAATAGAAAGACGTTTGTTGAAGATTGTGGACGTTGGTGGAGCTGAAATGTCCTCAAAGAAAAGCATAAGGTTGATTTTAGCTTTAAATGGGACTTGGCACAAGCTTCTGATATCCTAGATGGTACTGGCGAGGTCACAACAGGAGCAGTACTTCAAGACCTGTTTGTAAAGGGATGCAGTAGCATAACTGGAAATTTAGGGGATAAGCAATTACGTATGAAAACAGGTGACTCAGAAGTTGTCATTAAATGGAACTAGGAATCCAACAATATTGTTGAATTTCCTGGGATCTAGAAAACTGGATGAGATCTTCAGGAAAATATGCTTATACAATGAAATGGGCATGATATCCCAAAGGGCCTGTTCTTGTGAGTGACCTTATGTTTTTTTTTATGCTTTTCATAATGCAACAGGTGCTACAATATAGTTAATATTGTTTCTGTAAGCATGCATAGTGCTTGCCCAGCAATAAGCATAGGGTTATCGTTTTTTTTCCATATCTCCTAGGCAATTGAATGAGGAAGCTGATTGACAGTTAAGCAACCTTTTTTATTCCCGTAAGATTTACAATTACTGACTAATTTTGTAATTATACAGACTCAAGGAGTTGCTCAGAGCGAAACTTATTGAATGTGGGTGGAAGGACCAATTAAAAGCGCACTGTAAAGGTATGTCAATTGAGTTTGTTTGTCAGGTTAGCATTGTTGAATTCAGATTGCTTTTTAATTTTGATCTACTGGCCTGATCATTTTTTCTGAATGAGGCTATAATTGGAGTTACACACTTTGAATAAACCGATCTATAACATAAGAAACAGCTCAGAGAAGTTTTAATGACGAACAAAACAGTACAGGTGTATTATAATTGGAGAATACAATATTGATTTTGAGTGGCTCACAACTATCCTCTCAAAACAATATACATTTATGCCTTGATTGTTTGAAAAATATTAAAATGCAAGGTTATTTTACAGATGTGATCGGGGAAAAAGGACTGGAGCATGTCACAGTGGAAGACTTGGTTGCAGAAATCACGCCAAAAGGAAGAGGTATTTTATCATTTTTCTTTCGGTAATTGTATTAAAATTGCATTTGTATTTATTTTTATAATGACAAGTAAAGTAAAAAATATTGCTGTTGTAATGACAGTTCTTTGTTTAATTGTTCTGGAGCTTATTTACAAGTACAGTATGAAAAAATATATATGCTTTATGGATCTTAGGACTTATGTTTTTGACAGTTGCAATCTAGACAGTCAAAAAAATGTATTTTTATCATATATAGAAGTTCTTTATTTCATAAAATTGGCTAAACATACAAAACACTAATACCCATTGTTCACAATTGACCTACCCCTATAAGGCACCTCTTGATATTACTGAATGTTAAACATATATTGTTTATTTTAACCTTATTTCATAATTAAGTTCTTCGTTTTTGCAGGAAATTTTCTGTTTCTGATTTTACGGACAAAATTCCCCTTGAGCAATTTGTCCATTAAAATGAAGCTTTATTCTAGAAAGTTTTACTGTAATTGGTTCTGTCAGAATGTGTTAATGTACAGTATCTGTGCTCTCCTTTGTCCTGCTTTATCAAATGTTTCTTTTCATTTTTTCTCTTTTAGCTCTTGTACCAGACAGTGTGAAGAAAGAACTTTTGCAGAGAATAAGAGCATTTTTAGCTCAGCATGCCACACTATAAATGAAACCATTGCTGCTTTTTCCTTTGTTTATTCGTAGCCCTGACAAAAATCAATTTCCCATTTCTTTCAGTACATTCACAAGGTGAAATTAATAAATGGTAATTCTTCAGTTTTAAGTTAGTTTTTGATATTTACTTTTTTTGCAAAACAAATTAAATGAATTTTAAAAAGTCATATTGATCATGTATTTTTGTTACTGTTACACATTTAAGAATGGCATAACAGGTGTTTTCTACAGTCATAGTAAATTCATTTTTTCCTATGAAAATCATTTTCACTTGTACAAAAGGGATTCTCAGCTGTGTTGTTGGTGAACCACGCGCTTGAATTTGTTTAAGCTGAGGTCTTGCGTCGCGCATAATTCACCCCCTTAGTTGCCCTTTTCATTTAGTTGCTGAAGATATTGTGGATTGCTTTTCCACTATTGCATTTCATAAATAAATGTCTAATAATTTCTAAATAAAAATTAAAATCTTGGAAGTATTTCTAACCAACTTAATATTAAAATATAACAGGTAGTGGTTCCACAGGACCTGCATTGTGAACCCTTGTGAACCCTGTACAAAAAGTAGTACATCACTGCATAACAGTAAAAACGTAATAGTCTAATTATTACAATCTTCATAAGTACTGTAGACTAATACATCTTTCTAAATGAATTTTTCTCAATAGTCTGTTAGCCTATTCTTTCACATGAAGTCACATTGGATTAAAAGGTTTTGCACTGTTGGAGAAATTTCTAAAAATTTCTGTGCGGCATCTCTAGCACAATACCTAAATGCCAGTGTTAACCCAACTTTTAAAAGTTTTTTAAAAGATAAGTTCTCAAATAAAGGCAATTACAGCAAAATGCCAGTAGGTGCCTCTTCAAACTGCAGCGAACACTGAAAGGAAATGGGCAAGGCTAAAATCCTCATTTCAGAGTGGTTGGGGAGGGTCTCGTGTTAGATTATTTTTGTTTAAATAAAAGTCTATTCTTGAGTTTTGCATCTATTCATTCAAAGAAAAACATTTTGTTCCTCTCTCTACAAGTACTGCAGTCCTCACTTTGTGTCTGTAGCACTTTTAGTAAGATGAAGCCAGAGATAAATCATGGCTGTTCCTAGATCATGGTTATCCAACATGAATATTTCTTCATCTAAATTTAATGTAGGTGTTAAGAATCCCTGCTCTCATTTGATAATGATAATCATTTTTGGAGATCGTTCTTTTCTCCTCTATTTGGAAATGACTGTTTTACATGTCCTCACATACACTGTCTCAGTTTTTTTTATTTGTTTTTTCTGTGGCTGCAAGAAGCAGAAGAAACCATGGAAATATTTTGCTTTTTCTTAGTACTTAGGTTTCTGTTCCTTTCTATTGTTGAGTTGGTCTTAATGTCTTGGCCATTTGAGTAGGCAACTGACAAGTTAATTGATGGTTGAATTGTTTTTTGCGATGTGAATGCAGATCAGACTTTTAGAATTTGCTTGAGAGCTAGACCGCTCTTTCTCGAAAGATTACAATTACATGTGTTCGTGACTTTGTCATATGGATTTCAAAAGATGCGACCGAGATACCATTCATTTCTGTTCTTAAAATACAGTAAATGACGTTAGTAGACTTGTTGGGCAACTGACCAGTTTGTGTTTACTGAAGCAATCTTTAAAAAGATGTAGATCATATGTCTGACTATAATGTCACAGATATTTCCTCTTGTGTCAGAATATGGAAGGTGTTGAAAGCCTTAAAACAAATAATGCATTTGCAAATGCAGTATACAGGGTCTGAAATTACAAATGAAAAGATTGATTGATCTTTTTTTTTTAAATAGCCTCATAAAGAGGTAGTCAAAACATTTAGCAACTACAACTTTGTTTGATGGGGTCAGGGCTTTTCAATGCAGTGTAGCCATTGCATGACTGTACTGTTGTTGATACTTTAAATTGTAGTTTAAACTGGTAATTCCAGTAATTGCTAAATATGAACATGCTAAAAAGGAAAAGTATTCTAACGTTACACAAGACCTTAATGGGAAGATTGCGTTGCAGTTGCAGAAAAGACCTTTAGTAAGTCACAAATGTTAATACTATATATGATACTAAGAAATGGTGTGGTTGTTGTAGCACAACATTAAAAGAAAACTCAGATAAAAGGGGGATCGTTATCTTTACTGGTAGCCTCATATGATAAACAGTAAGCAAAATATAGCTATAGATTCCAAGGTATATCAATATGAAAAATAATTTACCGAATTATGCACTGAATATACTTCACAGGTAGGGAGGTTAATGGAACTATCAATAGACTTAAAGCAATAGTGATAAGACATCCCTAAAAAATCAGTTAGATAAGATCACTTTATTGGCCATATACAATTTCTTGTATTAGGAATTTGTCTTTTCACAGACCCCAGCTTGCTCTCCATGTGATACACAGACAGGGAGAGAAGCTTGGGGTCAGAGCACAGGGTCAGCCATTGTACAGCGCCCCTGGAGCAGCTGGGGTTAAGGAACTTGGTCAGGGGCCCAACGGAGTAGGATTCCTCTGCCATCCATGGGATTTGAACCAGCAACCTTCTAGCCACAGGCACAGATCCTGAGCCACAGAGCCAACACTCCACTGCTTCAGTGCTATTTCAGTGCCACAGTGCCATTCAACTGAAGGGAAAATACATTAAGCTAAAGATACGATACATTTTTTCTCTGCTCCAGTAGTATATGAAGCCTCAATGATGTGATGAGGCATTCTCAGGATTTATGCAAGATAAATAGAGGTGTCAAGGCTTTAGTTTACAGAACAGACTGGATTTACGGGCAAAGCACTGCAAAAGATCGATAAAAATGATGACATGCACTTCAAGGTGAAGGATAGTAATGGAGAGGTCGGATCTGGGATTATTTCAAAAGTGTTATTATAATTGCTCTTTCATTTTTGTTAACCTCGCCCTGTTTTCTTACATTTTCCCTAGCCTGTATTTTAGCTATGATAATAGACTATGACACTGGATCTAGAGGACGAGTTGACTCTTGAGACTTTGTAAGGCAGAATATGGAATGGAGTTAAAGCTGTTAACATTTAAAAGGTTCTTACTGTATGTGAGGGGGGCTCTTAAAGGCAATTTGAGCAAAGATGTAGACAAATGTTTCTAAGCAATTTCAGTAATCCTTCACATTACAGAAATTGCAGGCACCCATCAACACAGCACTCTCTGAAGGTATGTAATTGAGACATTGATGTTTATTATTTGTTCACAGGATCTAACAATGGGATCTCCTAGGTAGGCAACAACTGTCCGCAATAATAATGCAGGTACTTTGATGGACTCATACCTACCCCCCGCAGTGCTGTGCTGATTGCACACTGCTGCTTGAGGAAATCGAATCACAGTCAGCTAATGACCAGCTTAGACATTAAAAACTGGTTTAAAAAAAAGGAACCAAGGACTTTTTATAGAAAATAAATGAGGACAAAAAATCAAATAGGGGTGTCTTTGTGTCAGCCTAGTTTTTCATTGGACTGCACTGCAGGTATTCCATAATGTGTAATTTATTATAATGTATTGTAAGCATTTTATTCAAATTAATTTTCTGTATATATATATGAAATATTTTATCTCCTCTGAAATTAAGTTGAAATCTTATCATTATCACTCAGGGTTTTTTACTGGGTTTCTGCAACCCTATAGATTTTCAGAATGTTTTATTCCAGAAAGCAAATCTGATTAAGGTACACATTTACAAAGGTGTTGTTGTTGAGAAACACACGTAGCAACTAGTTATAATTTGTTGAACATGAAAAACTGCCATTCACCTGCGTCACCCAAGAACAGCTTATTCTGCAGAGGCGATACAGAACATAAAATAAATGGGAAAACACAGTAGGGATTAGGAGGTAAAACTAACCCATCAAGTATTATCCATCAAACTATTTAAAAGGACTTAATAGCAGGCTTTGCATTTATGCATATTTATATCCTCTTTGGGTTCTTCTGTTGACTGCAAGAGTTATTATAATTCAGAGTATTTAGGTATGATTTGATTTTAATTCCATACTGAACTTTAGAAACAACACAATGTTTTGAGCCTAAGAATTGAGCCTAAGAATAAGCCCTATCTATCCTTCTGCAACCCACACATGATATAGCTTTCCTCTTGATCCATTCATAACTTCTTGCTTTTAGATTTACAAACACTCGAAGAGATTCTGACTGAATAACACAATGTTGATCATACAGTAAACTCATGATACTAGTAACTTAACTAGAGATAGAATACAGAAGTACTTTTGCTACAGAATGTTAGTGTAACATTGGTCAATATAAAGTGACTATTTTAAGAAAAAGACTTGATAATAATAATTAATAATTACTTATATTGCGCTTTTCTGGACAATCCACTCAAAGCGCTTTACAGTTAATGGGGACTCTCCTCCACCACCACCAATGTGCAGCATCCACCTGGATTATGCGACGGCAGCCATAGTGCACCAGAGCGCTCACCACACATCAGCTATCAGTGGGGAGGAGAGCAGAGTAATGGAGCCAGTTCATAGATGGGAATTATTAGGAGGCCATGATTGGGAAGGGCCAATGGGAAATTTGGCCAGGATGCCGGGGTTACACCCCTACTCTTTTCGAAAAACGCCCTGGGATTTTTAATGACCACAGAGAGTCAGGACCTCGGTTTTTCGTCTCATCCGAAGGACGGCACCTGTTTACAGTATAGTGTCCCCATCACTATACTGGGGCATTAGGACCCACGTGGACCACAGGGTGAGCACCCCCTGCTGGCCCCACTAACACCACTTCCAGCAGCAAAATTAGTTTTTCCCAGGAGATCTCCCATCCAAGTACTGCCCAGGCTCACACCTGCTGAGCTTCAGTGGGTTGCCAGTTGTGAGTTGCAGGGTGATGTGGCTCATGCTGATAGAGCCATTCACTTGATAGAACCTGAAAGCTGTGATAAAGTTAAGCCCAAGGACCATATGGAGTGAACATGAGACCCAAAGTACACAAGCGTACATTTCCTGGAAGCACATTAAAGACAAGAAACAAGAGTCACAGGTGCCTTGAACAGAAAGCAGAGTACAAATAAGAAGTCAATACCCAGATCAAGGTGACGTAATTCCTGGAGTATCACAGGGATCTAAATGACTATGGGACTGCTGCTCTTCCTAATTTATATCAGTGATCTAGATTCGGATGTACTTAAAATAAAGTTCACAGACAAAACAAGAACAAGAAGATTAGCAAACACTGTATAAGATGAAATTTAAAAATCTTAAAAAACATTAAATACCAGACTAGGCAAATACCTGACATTTAAGGCAAATAAGCACAGATTGCAAATAGAAATAAAATATTGGAAACACAGAGCCTGAAGACAGTACTTATGAAAAAAGCATATTATTCTATCTTCTGGACGATATGTGAAAGCACTAAAAAAGGCAAATAAAATATTAGTGCACTTAAGAGCACAGAATTTAAATTGAGGAATGTTAAATGTGTATAATGCTGTGCATTGGTACTTCAGAATATTGTGTACAAATGTGGTAACCACTTCACTGTCCATATACTACCTGACTGGTTTGATTGTCTTTTATGCAGAAACTTAATTTAATTTAAGGGTGAGTTAATTACCATAAGATGTGACCAAAGAGCAAATGGATTAGAGTCATAGAATAAATTAAGTAATTAAAGAAACAATTACAACATAAAGTGGTCAATTAAATAATTTTCATGTACAGTCCCGAATAGAGCTTTTCAGACGAAAGTATCCCAAACCTATCGGAGTGGATACGCTTAGTCTGAAGATGAACTGCAGTACAAATAAGCAGTGATGCTTGGTAGCCATAATGAGCTAACAGCTCCACTATGCAGCAATTTAGGTGAGAAATTGTTTCACCAACTGAATTAAGAGGAAACGTCATGCTGGCCTGATTGAACAGGGCCACAGTATAATTTATCCAGGACCAACGGAGCTAACATTTCTACTCTTCCCAGGGCCTGATGATCTTTAATGACTAAACAGTTAGGATCTCACTTTAATGTCTCATTTGAAGAATGGCATGTCCTCCAGCACTTACTGTTTGAGATCAGAGGAGATCAGGTTAGAAGGTGGTAACACTGCAGTGTGAAAGAGCAGCATGCTGAAACTGTCTGTGAGTCAGCAATGCACAGTAGCACACAGTAGTGTTTTATTATCACTCACCTGCCAAATTCACTGTAAAAAATTAGACTCGCATTGTGGCGGCCTGATAAAGAAGAAAAAAGTTTCTGGATGTCTACAACAGAATCCAGGCATATTACAAATGATTCCTAGAGCAAGGCAATTAAAAAAAGGAATTACTTTCAATGAGGAATGCATTAACACCCTTGAAAAAAAATGCAGACTTTTGTAATCTAATAGTATCAGGTGTTTCTTAAGAAGAATGTAGAGCTACAATTTACTGGCAAATCAGAAAACATTCCTTAATCTGCTTTGAAACAGCCCCATTATCTCAAATCACTGGTCAGGTGTCATTTTTCCTATAAACAATTTTTAGGACTAATTTATGAAGGTAAGTGATTTTTTTATTGCCTAAATCATCAATGTGATGCTTATTTGATGTTCCCTCTTTTAAAATATATGTGTCGTTTAAAAAAATGTTTTCTTCTAGAACATGGACTAAAAATCAGTTCCCTGGAAGTTGCCCAGGTTATCCTCATATTGTCTTGAATTATTGGATTTAAATGGAAATGGATTTTAAAGTAAATGACTAATGATAGTAATAATTAGATGAATACAGTTTGAGAAATTAATTTTACTTTAGTTTAATACTGAAAAAGCAATCCCTGTCTCAATTTTATCCTACATACAGTATGGTAGGATAATGGTAGCTAATTTGATATATATAATATTCTTATACTGTTTAGTTATATTTATTTTTATTTGAAAGAGTGCATGCAAGATACCAATGCTGTTTCGTTCAAAAGCTTATATCATCCGTATTTTTTTTTTTTTGTTATATGTTCTTGCTCTAGCGTGACCTATGTATACTGTACGTGCAAACTGTTGCCATGCAATTATTCCGGGCATTTGACAGGCTTCCCTCACAAGCCTGGCTGCCTATATAAACACACCATCTTATAGTACTCTGCGGATACTAAACACCAAACTTGAAAATACGGAGCTTCCTCCTTCAGGTAGTTCAGTTCTAAAAAAATGTATTCTTTGTTCTGAATTATTTTAAATGGTTAAAACGTTTGTATAACAATTTGCACCCTGGGTTTTAAGGTTAATTTAGCTGTATAGCGTAAAAAAACATATTTAATGTACTTATTTCATCAGTTTCCTCTTAATTCTAATGCTAGCCTACCATCACATCGCCTATTTGAGAATGAATACACTAAAGCTTGGAGCCAATGAGCGTGGATGAGCGCTTGAGGAACAGGCTACTGTATGCCAGGAGTAAAAGTTAATTTTTATTAATGCCGCTTCTAGCAAAAAAAATATTTTACAGTTTCTAAAGTGACAGAATTGCTACCAGCTTAGGCTGTCCATAACTTGCTTTTCACTTTAAGATGCAATATGTACAGTACCTGAGATAACGTCTAATTAGAAAGCTGTCCAACAAGAGTCAGGAGTTTTTGAAGATTCAAAGTACAGTTGACTGTTTTGATGTCGATTATCCTGCGATGATTCGTTTCTTTTATGAATCGATTTGCGATGAATCACCTTCCAACTTTGGTTTTGTCGCAGAATTTACCACGGCACTGGGGAGAGAAAGGCAACCATGAAACGCAAGCTGCTGTTGAAGCAGCTTCTCCTTCCCTTTCTACTTTCACGTCTCACAGTTTCAGGTAAACATTTCGATGCTACAGCGTGCATTCTTAAAGCAGGGTTCACTGCTTCTCTGAGGCTTTATTTTAGTGGCAGTTTCGGATGAATTACCGCAAAAGATGTACATAACATTGCTACTGTATATTGACATTCATAAATAAATAGATGCGCAGATGTTTCCGTTTTCTTTCCAGGTCTTCCTAAAATAAGAAATTAAGTAATTGTCTTCATTTTTGTTTTTTGTTTTTGTTAATATTCTAACTCACAAAGATACGTTTCTACTTCTTTCGGGTTGGTTCCGTTTCGGCTCTTGTAGTAATATCTTAAAAATGTAAAAATAGTTCAGACACGATTAGCTATTTTTAACATTGTAATACTATAGATTTTACTATACCTTTACGTTATATAGTAATTGAAACGAATACCAGATTATTTTAACCCATCCTGAGAAGTTTATATTTCGGCTCAAAGAAACTGAATAATATCCATGTTCACCATAACAATTTCCTTTAACATGTTTTGTGCCACTTTTATTACCATTGATCCTTGCAAATCAAATAGTAATTTTATTTATTATCTTACCATGTCTTTTATCAGATGCACAGGCCCCCAGCATCACTATGGTAACGCCTAAAACAGGGAGTGTGAATGGGGCAACAAGGCTTACAATTGCAGGACAAGGTATGTAAAATCAGAAAAGCTCCCATGACAGACCCATACTGCTTACATTTGAGATAATGAACGGTGCTACATTTTGGTTAGCACTGCAGTCCATTGCAGGACACACACTCACAAACTAGGGCCATTTTTCCCAGAAACCAAAGCACCAAGAGGGGACCATGCCAGTATCACCACAGGTTTGGAATTGAACCCAGGGCCCCAGCACTGAGAGATAGCAATGCAAACCACTGCACTGATGTTTTTTTCATTATTTTTAATCTTAAACAGATTTTATCATCCATTTTAGGATTTGCCGATGCGAACCAGTTTAACTTTGGAGCAGGCAACGATAACCTCGGCAACAGTGTTCAGTTAGTCTCTGATACCAGGTCCATTCCTTGCGATGTGGAAAAGGACTCCAGTCACAAAACCCAGATCATTTGTTATACCAGGTAACTAATCAAACTTGAACTCTGCTTATGTTAAAAAAAAAGGCTGTAATGCATCATTCGTGCAAAGCACTCAATTGTCAAAACTATCAAATGCCTAAAGCAATTTTTGAAAGCAATTACAGTACAAGAATCACATTGACTCCAGTGCATAATTTCCCGTGGAAGATCATATTATAAATATCTAAAGAGTAGCTTTACCAATCCAATCCAATACCCTCCTCTCAAATCATTTCTTATATGATTATACAGAGTCCCACATCTTCAATACTGTCTCCAGGGATGAATAAATCCAATTAAAATACTTTTCCCTCGAGGCTGAGTATTTCATCACTGTGTTTGCATGTGTTCTTAACTTGAGAATTGAATTACCTTTTGGATTTTTACAGGACATTTTTTACATTTAATTTTCTCACAGTGTGCATTTTCTAAAGTAAATGCAGGGTGCTTTTCTTACTCGTGCAGGCATTTCAACATAATTAATAAACAAGCCAAGAACCTCCATGGTAATTAAATGCTTTCTGTCTTTCCTCAGACCAATGCCTGAAGATAATTATGTTGTCCAAGTCAGTGTGGATGGAGTACTAATTCCTGACAGTAACATCTGTTATGGTTCCTTTTATTCATACTGGTGCAGTTTTTATGTAAGTTTATTTACAGTATGTTTGATCACAGCTATCCAATATGTGAAACACAGGAATGTAACTTGTGCAACTGGATGATGCTTATATATATATTAAAAAAAATTACATTAACTTTACAGTTTCAAGTTACAAAGATCTGGAAAAGATGATCTTATGACAAAATTTAGGGAAAAGTGATATGATGGTATGAGAATAAGAGATCACAGTGAATAGTTTCCGATATTTCCGGTAGTTCTAGAAACTGAGATTTTAGATCAATGCACATGGATCTAACTCTTAGATATTCTGCACAACATACTGTACATTTCAAGCACAGAATTTGTAAGTGCAGTTAATCAAACTGACATATTCTTTCTCAAGATGACTACCTTAGCAACATATTTAAGCACTCTTACCATGTACCAGGAGAGACAAGAATATAACAATTTTTGTTTTAGCAAAGCAAACTTAATGCAATAAATATCATTGCTTTATTATTGCATCTACTTTTAATGTTATTATACTAAAGCAATGAAAGAATTCTTTCATCTCAGATCAAGTAAAGCAATTCCAATTCAAGCGGTAATTAATTGTAATTAAATTAATTACTATAATTAATATTACAATAAATGCTATAGTGTCCTAGAGCCTGTGAAATATTTTGGCAGCTTTTTATTAGATGCTTGATGTCATGTAATTTGAATGGAACATGTGTACATTTTAATGGGATTTAAGACAAGTGAAAGAAGAACAGCTTGAGGAGAGGAAGGAGGGAAAATGAAATTTTTTCTGTGTGCTCATAGCCCAGGAGCTACAGGACTCCCATGATCTCCAGCATTACACCATTGACAGGCTTGCCAGGTAGGAGCTATTTTGTACTGAAAGAATCATTAATCTGATGGTTTTTTTTGTCATTTTCCTGACAGAGGTTGCTGTTACAACCTGTATGTCAGAAATGGTCCTATATCATCTGTCTTCTGCTGTCTAAACATTAAATCCACAGGCACGCTGGTCACCATACGGGGGCTCATCTTCACTGATGTCTATGGGAGCAATACTGACAAGAGCTCCAATGGCCTGGATGCCAGGATTGTCAGGTATTCATGATTCCCAAAGCCTCTACATTGATCCATCCTATAGACATATTATGCCTGGTAATGGACTGGGATCCTGTTTGGGTTTTGCACTGAGTTGTGCCCGTTGCTGCTTGAGTCCCCTGAAGTAAGGGGAATGGGAATTAGCAGTTAATAATAATTAATAATCATAATAATGAGTTAAGAGTTAATAATTTTCTGGAATTATCAGAAAATAGATGGATGGATGAAAATATGTATTGTCTTTTTATTCCTCAACAGCATGAGATACAGTACAAAAATACCTATGTTGTCATGTTTACTTAATCCAAGACTGATTAGTAGCAGCCTCTGATCTTGATCTGCTGTCAAGAGTTATTTTTCTACCTTCCACCTTTGATATATACTGTATGATTACCTGCATTCTGTTAATCAGGATGGCTTATACTGTTGTGAATAACCTTCCCTTCTTTCCTCACAGGATGTAAGCCAATTAATATCTGAATGCATGTGAGAGAACATGAATTGATATTCATATTTTTCTCTGTCATTTATCTAATGAAACAACATGATTCAGATTCCAACTATATTACATACTGTATGTAAACGTGGCTATACTCTTAAATGGTTTCAAAGAATTTTTTTTTTAAATAGAAAAATTAAACTAACACATGATAGAATCCTATATGCATGTAATAATAATAACCACATTTCTTAAAGTTTATTGTTGTCATTTCAGAGTTTATGTTGGGGGAATGCCTTGTGAACTTCTCCAGCCTAACTCTGACACTCGGTAAGTTTGACCTATGACGATAGGATGTATTTAAAGATTTTATCAAAATAATTCTACATCTTACATGTTCCAGATGAAACATTTTTAATTTGTTCTTTAGATATGGCCTTGCCTTAGACTACGAATATAGCGTCTGGGGATCGATGACTTGCAAAATTACAGGAACATACGTGGGTAAGCAGGTTTTTTCTTCTGTTCTATAAATATTTATCAATAAATGAATACTGTGATGAATGTTCCAAACAAACCAATGGAACATTTTGATCACAGTATACTGTTTTAGTTCCTAAAAAGACAATTCCTTTGTTTAAATTCTAACATTATTTTAAAGTAGGATTAGTGGCTACAAATGTTAGACCACTTTTCAGTTGTTTTGAAGGTAACAATTTTTCCATTTTATATTTTATTGGCTGACATCTGCTGCTCATTAGTGAAGGGTGGGTTTGTCGATAGCAGGAACAGTATCACTGCTTGAGCTACTCAGGATTGCATTTGTATTATCCCTGGATCTTTGCAGACATGCAAATGTTTTTATTATCCTCTTTGTTATCAGGGCACCAGAATGTGAGTTTCATTGTTGACAGTGAATATGGGAGGTAAGTAACAGTACAATTGTGCTGAAAGATGTACTGTTCATGTCTACTGTCATGATGAAAAGTACAGCAGTGTTGTCACCTTCTATCTTAAATTAATCAGAACTCAGATGTTAAGAAAGACTGAGCTTGGTCAATACTCCAATGAGAGACATTCATTAAAATATATATATATATTTTGTTTTAATTACAGATGAAAAAAAATATTTGTGAATGTAATTATTTTTCACCATGAAGCGTACTGTATTGCATGTATGTATATATTATAAATCAGTTCAAGACAAGACTTCAAGCTCATTTTTTAATAAAAAATCGGGAACTTAAACTACAAAAATAACGAATAATTCTTTAGTATCTGCAGTTTCCAAAGTCGATAGTTCCATATCTGGATTATTGTTATTAAGCAATCTAACATGGCAATGTGGTTTGAATGCTATGCAGAACTAATACATTACTTCCTATTGTCTGCTATATCAAGTGTATGGAAGCTTATTAGCACCACAGAGAAAAACACATCTTTGCATTTAGGTAAAGATTGTCACTCCAGTCATATCATTTTTCTAATAAAAGAAAACAGACTAATTGTCAAGTTACCATAATATTAAAAGGACTGATAAAAGCCATTCCTTTGTCTATGTTAAACAACATCAATAATTGGAGAGCCATTTTAAAAAGAATATGAAGTCCTAATGTGTATGAACCTTCTGGTATTCATGTTGTTTTACAGGAGCTTACCCTACTTGTCAAACTACATCGTTTCATCTTTAAACCAGCTCTCTATGTTTCAAAGCTATGCGGGTAAGGAAAACAAGGGATTTCTTCAAGACATCACCATCTTTAGCAATGAGCACCATCTTCAGTTAAGACATCCATTAGCAACAGTGTCTGTACTTGCAAAGATTTTTGGTTTACAGCATAAAACCACTGACTAATTGTGACAATTGGTCACTAAAATAAAATGTAATAATGATGGCAGTGTTGCAAATCTACATGGAAAAAATGTCTTTAGGAACTTGCGACGAATTTTACAACTTTTTCTTGCAGAGGTTGGTGGAGTTTCTCCTTCTGAGGGGAGTCTGCAGGGAGGCACCATATTAACCATAAATGGGCACTACTTTGATGAGACTGACCGTCCAGCACAAGTTCTTGTTGGAGGTAACAATTTTCAAAAGATACAGTAGGTTCAAAACATCTCAACGTGCCGTTAGTTTTAAAAGGACAGATCGAAACAGAACACCCATGGATGTGAATGAAATTAATGTGACATTTACTGTTTTGGCATAGAATATTGTAAGTTGTATATGCATAGCTGTAGTGCACATGTAGTGTGCAAAATAGTCACCCTTTACTGTGAATATGCCTGATTTTATTCACTGTCTCCAGGTATGACACCATTTTGAATGCAATCATTTGGTTTCCTCTAAGCAGGACATACTGTAAAGCAGTAATCATTGCTTGAAGCGCTTAGTCATTTCAATAAATTTGAATGTAAAGATCCCAGGGAAACTGAAATGACTAACGATTTCATGGAATACACAGTATATCTCGGGGTGATCAACGATGTTCAGTTCTAGAAATTGTTCAGCAGAAGGTGAATGTATGACAACGTATAGCCAAAGGTAATGTGTCATTATAAAGATATATACAGATATTGATTGTATTGTCAGTATCTATGAGTCTAATGGAATATGTAAGTAATTATATGTCTGATTATTTCTATGCTTGCACATTAAAAGCTACAACAAGAGAAATGGTGATAACTCATAATTATCCTAATGTTGTGTCCAGGCCAATAACCTACTCATGTATCTGTGCATTCCTAAAAAACACCTTTATTACATAAGTCTGACCCAGAGAACAGAATGGATTTTTTGTTATTCTGTCGCCAGAGTCTCCAGTGTCCTCATTATCAACAAGTTGCACTAGCTACTGTTTAAAGTTAAAACAAAGCTAGCATGCGCTGGAAAGCTAAGCAGCAAAAAGATGTCAAAAACACTAAAATGAATCATTTAAGCCGATAAATCACCTGAGAACTTTTATAAGACCAGGGTTGAAATGCCTCTTTTGTAAATCATTTTATTTGAACTTATTTTGTAGGTCAGAAATGCCCGATCCTGTCGTTATCTGATGGACAAATCACTTGCCAAAGCCCCGTGTTTACGCCGACGAACATGACATTGTTTCCTGGTGAGTCACAGTTGTTATTCTTGTTGAGAGTGCGTGCCATACAGTTTTGCTTTGTATTTATTTTTTTGCATGGCACTCTTGTGTGTCTTGTGTTTAAAATGTCTGCTGTAGTACCCTGACTCACTTGAAATGTGAGTGACAGCATATCTGGTGATCACAACAGACAACGTACTGTAAGCATTGACACATTCTGAGGTATTCAAGGCATCCCACAATGCAAATTCTTTTTGGCAAATACAGTAGCTAATATATAAGATTAGAAACAGAAAGGCTGTATCTACTGTATATCTAAATAATACTGTACAGGAAGGCATCTTAAAAGAGTAAAACATATCATTGTATTTTAAACAGTTGTTGATTGTTTGGTCTAGGAGGGAGAGGGCTGAAGTTGGAGATCTGGAACAATAGTAGACCCAGTACACTGGACGAGGCCCTGAAATACAATGAAACCTGGCCAGGCTACTCTGTCAGATGGGTGGACTCTATGTCATACACCTGGCCTGTGGAGTGGGACTATTTTGTAGCCCGATTCAGTGGCTTCATAGTCCCAACAGAGACCGACAATTACAGGTTCTATATTAGAGGAGACGACCGCTACGCACTGTACTTCAGCAAAACTGGAAGCCCCAGAGACAAGGTATGGAGAACAGAAATGTAATCTGAGAAGTTGGAAAACAGTATTTACCTCCCTAAGACTGTGACTGTACCCTATTATTGCAATCATTGTCCTGTTGATATTGACAGAAGTGCCCAATCCTGTCCTACTGGAGCTGCAGTCCTGTTCTATTACTGCAAATGGGTTGTTGAACTTGTGTAATAAAAAAACAGTTAATTCATACAGAAACTGCTGTATGAATTAACTGGGTTGATTACACATTTAATAATTGGCAGTTAATCTGGAAATGAGCCTCCTATTTTCCTTCCCATCAACAAGATGGAGCAAAGTGTAGAATCAGCTGTGGTTTAAGTGAGTTTGCACAGTGTGCAAGTGTGTAGTCAGTAATCTGATCCTGATGTATGCATTCCCCTGATTCATCACTATTTTTTCCCCCAATTCCAATTATCACTAATTCTGGACTACTTTATGCTAATTTAGGTGAATGTCTCTAAAGCAAGTTCAGAGCTATTCTGCAGTGCCTCCAAACTAACATGTACACATCTCAGGGAAAGAGAGCCAGGCTCCATTTTTGCAATCCAGTGTCCCTTGGGAGTCAAAGTGTTAGTCATCTCGTCTGATGTCTTTGCAAGTAAATATTGTTTGTCCAACCACTAACAGCACTTACACAGAATGCAGACTGATGTGCATCACGTGTTCAAGGTTGGTTCACTTGGTTAAGTGCTGCTAAGGATGGATGGACCTCATAAGGGCTAAGTGTGTGGAACAGTAGCCTTGAGGTTTGGTATGTGCAAGTGAATCTGTACAGCATATAACCCCTTGGGTTGTTCATTAAAGGCACAATTCTTCCTTTCCCAATCCAAGATGACCGTCACTAGAGGCACTGTGGGTCTCGCATTGTATAAAATGGCAGAGAGCTGTATGAAAAGCACACGTTGTCCTTGATTCCATTGTGCAAGTACAAGCATCGCATTGGCGACCCCAGCTGATTTGCAGTTTGAGATTTCAAACTGGGCACAGAAAGAAAAATAATCAGTAGTTCTAGACATCAGCTTGTCTCCATCCACCAACCAGCACCTTAACTTCGGGTTGTGCTGTAGACTTGAATCGTGAGACCAAGCAAGTGGCGGGACTGAGTACCTTAATAAGGACAGTTTGCACGCTGTTTTCATCTGCACCATACAGGAGCTGGGTCATAGAGAGGAGCTGACTTGATTAATAAAGGGCAATTCCACTTAGAAAAATCTGGATTGCAATTCTTTTTTAAACTGCAGTGTTGCTATTCAAAACTCCAGATAGTTGACAATTTTTCCCCATCAGAAATGAACAACATGAGTTTCATTTCATAATTTTCAAGCCTCGAGTATCAGTGAATTCCTGGTTCAGTATCAGTGAAGTAAAGGTTTTAAAAGGTATTCAGAAAGATTAAAGGCATGTTTTTTGAATGTATTTTAGGTAAAGATCGCATACAGGAATTATGTTAGTTGGGACTTTTTCACAGACTACACACAGCGCTCTGACATTCTTCATCTGGAGGAAGGCAAAGTGTAAGTATTGTAATTAAGGTTGTCATCATAGCCCATTTACTACAGTATGTCTTAGTTCTGTACTTCTGAGTATTGATTATGACGTAGTAGTTCCAGTCACACAAAGACTGCCCGCCAATCTGCTACCATATAGGGCTGAATTTTGAGTTGAACCATTAAACTAATGAAAATATTTGAATCAATTAATTAAATAATGATTGTAGGCATATTTCATTATTTACTCTTCATTTAATACCACATAAGAACTTACAATTGAAAGTGAAAGAAAATATGATTCATTCTCAATTTGATTGACTGTCATTCTCAATATGTTCAGAGCAATAATACCGAAGAATGTTGTGTACAATAGTTAATTGACATCTTTGTCTGCCCTAAAACTGAAAAATGCACACAATTTTAAGCAGTGATGGCAGAAAAATCTAAACAGCATCTTTTCTATATACTGTAGGTACTACATTGAAGTATGGCTTCAGGAATACGGAGTGCAAGCCTTCGTAGATGTTGGCTTCTTCAAAGGAAAGAGCTCCTTCACTAATCAGCAAACTACCGAAGGCATCCAAGAAGTCCAAATCATCTATACTCAATACAACATTTTACAAGAAAAACAGGTTGGTTATATTATTACGTGTTTTGAGAGGTAATAAAAATATAGCGAACGAGTGTTTAAATCAATTTTGTGCTGTTGCTTTTCATTGTTACTTTTTAAAATCATTTTAATGGATGGTTTTTGTGTTTCTAAGGCTGTGTATGCACTGCCCATGCAGTCTGCTTGGACAGTTATTGTCTCGTGGGCAATTTTTAATCAGTTGATTAAAGGTTAAAGGTTATAGGCTGGCCCTCAGCTTCCATCTTTGTCTTGTATTTGTTTTATATCATATACTGTATGGCTGAGCACTCCAGCTTGTCAGATTATCATTATTCGGCTGTTTTTATTGCTGCCTACTGTAGGTCCTGAGATTTGAGAACTGGACAAAAGGAAATCCAGTAAATGAAGTTCAGAAGGTCACAGTTACAAGTGGGTGCTACAGCTTAGGAAACTGTGACAACACATACTACAGCCTTATCTGCAGTTCTCAGGGAACAGGTATGAATTTAATTTACTAATTTTGGAAAACTAGTTAGATGTTCATATCAGCTGCTTTATCATTTGTATTTTGAAGATGGAATGCCTTGCCCGAGAAATGTTGTTACACTCAAAAATGTTTCCATTTCTATAACTAATTTTACTGTTGTTCCGATATGAAGCAAGCCTAGTCGCTTTATTTAATTCAAAGTACTTTATTCTTCCCCATACTGTATGTTTAATTTAAGGTAATGTGAAGAACCCCCTCCTTCTCTGCAAATAGGATTTTGTTTTTATTTTTACTTTTAAAAATGCTGTTTAAGAATTGGGTTCCTAAATGCCATGCATAGCAGAGAAAACTCACAAATGTGGCACAACTACAAACTTTGTTCACAGATTCATTGCAAAACCAGAGCTTTTCCTTCAAAATCTAATTCTCCATTGTTTACTGTTTTAAAGCATTGATTCCAGTAAGTGCTTCAGCTGAAGAGGTTCAGAGAGCTTTAAATGCTCTTTGGTCTATTAAGCCAGATTTGGTTCAAGTGACCAAGGTGGACATCAGTCAAGGATCTGAGTACACAGTGAACTTCATGTCCCGCAGAGGTAAATGAAAAGTGTATCACCATTGTTAAATCCTTAACTTAAAATTCAGATCGACACATAAGGAATCCTTTTTCATTTTCATGATGTTTCATCTGAAGATAAATTTCATGTTAAAACAGAAAAACCGCAAGGAGGAAACGCCGTTTGATGATTTTCATAATGAGAACTACAGTATTGTAAATGCGTGTTGTAAGCTCAGAGCTGAGGAAAGGCTTCCTAGCAAATGGCTGTTAGTTACAAACATGACATACTGTAGCAAAGTGTTCACACCTCATAGATATATGCTGAGTAAAGGCATGTATTTATCACACAGATTAGAAAAAGACTTCCATTTCTCCGCACAGGTGACTTTGAAAGCCTTCAGTATGTCACTTTTGGAGGTGACGTGAACATTACTGTCGAGGAAGTCACTAAAGGGAGGCCAAGCCTTGAAACGTTCACATTAGAGTGGGACACAGCCTTGTCCACACCTGTCGCTTTCAATGCATCTGGTGTTGAGGTTTGTCTGTGTTTTTTTTTTGTATTTAAGAGTTCCTGCTTATGGACAACCTTCTTCCTAAAAAAGAAGTTTAAAATGTGTTTTAAAAAACCCCACAGTGCAAGTTAAACCAATAAACCAGTGCTGTGTCCTTGACTGTGTATACAGTAACGATATTATTCTAATTTAGCTTCTTCATTCATTAATGTTTAAATGCCTTAGATGCTTTTGATTTATTTATTTTTTTCAATTTTAATGCTTTTCTCAATATGTTCAGATATTGTTTTGTTTAAACAACAGAGCTTTCAAATGTCCGGATTGTTTTACACCTCTTTGTTGTTTCTAGGTGAATCCGACTTTTTGCTTTATATTTATTGAGGGTGGACAAATGTTAATCCATAACTGAGAATAAGAAAATGAAAATTCTGCACTGTGCATTAAATAAAATGTAACACAATTTACAGGTGCAAAAAGCTATTGAAGGCTTGGTCAGTGCACAGTGCCCAGATGAGATTCTCCGCAGTGAGAGCAATTTGGTAAAGTACTTCAGGGATTATGAAAATGATCAGACTGGGGTAAGTGCAAAAATCTTTAAGTGTAAAAAATGTCTAGATAAATCAAAGTGAGAATTAGGTGAATATGAGCAGATAATTTTGTGAATTAAGTATAAACCTTAAAGCTGTATCAGGCAGTGAGAGACTGTTAATTAGCATAAATGCACACTTATGCATGCAAACGGTAAGTTATTTGGCACTGTTGTGGCGAATTTTGCACAAATGTAATTAAACGCCAGTCAGATACATTCCATCAAAATTACTTTGGCTTTATTGTTTAGTAAAACCAGGTTCATTCTCAAACAACCTAATGTAAAAGGTTTGTCATCTTCCTTATGTTCTTAGAAGTATTAAAAAAAACTTACTGCTCTATGCATCTAAGTGATTTAATTACTAATTGATTATCAGAGAAGGAAATTAGTTCTTTGAGTAGCAGTACAATAAAATAGAAGAAACTAAACATTTGTATGTTTAGAAATATATTTTAATTACAACAAAATGAGAACAAGATAAAAAAACCAAAACAAAGTAGATTAACAGAGAATGTATGGTGTTCATTATAGCCTGTCTAAAGATTATAGTAATTTGAAGAAATGATAGAATAATTAAGTGTCTGTTCAATACTTTTTTGTCCAGTTCACAGGTTATTCAAGGGGAACACGTGTACCAGACACAGAAGCCTTCTGTGGAAGATTCTCACTTATGAATCCACAATATCTGTTCCTGTCATCAGACTTCCAGGTCTCTGGAAATACCTACGGAGCGATTCCACTGCAGCAGTACAGAATGGTGAGCATTCTCAATCAGTGTCTTAAAGATTTATCACTCTGTGTCTAAATGAAGTCAAACCTGCATTGATAAATGTACTTTTATTTTATTCATTTAACAAGGTCAAACCTGTATCGCAAACATAAACATTAAGCAAAGACCTCCTAATACAAATATTTTTTTTGCATGAATACTTTGCCTTGTTAATTTTATGCCATGAGACAGAATTTATTGGGGATCCAACAGACCATATTTATTCAAAGCTATTTCTTGTTAAAACTGTAAAAAGACATTTTACTTGTGTTTTCTATCATTTTGGTTTTGTGCATTGCCCATTCTCGCTGCTCAGCTTCACATTTTAAAAATGGAAACTCATGTGCAAAAGTTTAACATCTTAGACACAATGAAGAATTCCAGTATATTGACAGCATGATACCAGCATCAATTGTTCCTGTGAAATCAACAATTCACTCAAAGCCTCCCCTATTTGGACCATTATAAGAGCTTTGATTTGTTTTAACGCAGTTCTGATTTAGGTGAAAATAATCTTTCACCCAACTACTCATTGTTCTGCACAATGCAAATTATCCCGATTAACAGTATCTGAAAAGGCTAAAATATCTGTAAAATATCACTATATGATAGTGATTGTCTTCATAGAGAAGAAAAACATTAAATTAAAAGAACAGAGGGAAGGTCATCAAGAAGTTCACATCTTAAGGAGGTTTTTATATTACGAACTTCATTACTGTGTAGCTCTGCCTGTGCTTATGCACGCCGGTGTGCTT